AACTCTGCCTCTTTTTGCTCTCGAGTCTTTTCCTGAAGTTCAGAGATGAATGAATAAAATGTGAAAATACTTGCACAAGCAGTTTCAGACTTAATTATTTTTCACATTTTGTCTTGCCAATATTAAGACGTCAATGTAATTTAGTAGGCTTTCAGCTGCTTGATCAACACAAAGTAGCACATAATCATGAAGAGAAAGCAAAATGAGACATGGGTTCATTTTCTCTCCAGTTAAAAAAGGAAGCATGACTTGCTTTTGTATTTAGCTCTGCAAACAATACACCTCCATAAAATTAAAATCTAGTGCGACAAATGCTTTCGGATGTTCAGGAATGAGTAATTTATTCACTCATAAGCACAGCTGTTTAGTGAATTATCATATATGTTTATTTTTCCATCAGTGAACAAAAGTAAAGGCAAAGGGGAAAAAAAGCATAGAAGACCTTTAAAGCAGGGTTAGTCAAGCAAATACCTAGCTGTTAGAAAATAAAGTAAGAATTACAGTAAAACTGAAACAGTCCTCCCATTTTGCAATACTTAGTATTTTCCTATTACATAAAATTCCAGTACAATAAATTTACATTTGTCTTTGTAAAGTGACAATCTGTGAAAAGCTCAAAATTGTGTACTCAATAAAAATGAGAGAGATTAGCAGGTTTGTGCTGTTACCTGTTCAGGCTGCTTCTCTGAAGCATCAGCCTTGGGCATCGTCTCCTCCACCTCCTCATCATACACCCTCTGTTACAGAACAGGATACACTCAATCATGTGTTGTCTACCTAGAAACTCCTCTGGCTCAAAAGGAGTCGAAAAATACCAATGTAAATTTAAATTGGGCGAATGCTATTAAGGAATTTATGAGATACATTACATTTTCTATAAATTGTGTATTAGAGAGCATTAAAAAGTCATTGAAGACGGAGTGCAGGCGGCTGTCTGTGGCCTTTGTGTCTCGGATAAGGCTGTCCAACTGCTTTTCAATCTCATGCGTCTTTGACAACATTCTCTGCGAAAAGTCTTGGAGGAAAAGGAAGAGCTGCGAGATAAAAAGAAAAAGCCGTTATGAAAACAGGATCCTCTGATTTCACAACTTTCTCAAGTACTGTTTCACTGATGCTTCAAAATTACAATACCATTTCTAGCTTACCCCCGAGTCGGCTGCTAAGGACCAGTTGGCACTTTGTTGTCGGATCTCCTCAAGACTCCATGGCCTCTCCCACACCTGAGCATCTTCGCTAAAAGCCTCACTTCGGCTTGGGCCATTTGCAAATCCATTTGGCAAAGTACTCATCTGGAATCAAATAATTTGTTGTGATAATGGAAATCAATAATTCATGTAGGCTTTTAAACAACTATCAACACATAAGGAGCACAAAACTAAACAGAAAATTATCTTTAGTATACATTTGTACTCTAAACGAGCACAGGTTTCCTGTATGAGGAAATAAGAGCAAAAATGCAAATTGGAATGAATGTTTCCACTGACAAAGACTTTCTGAAAGTGAGTTTCACTGCCTATAACTACCTTGACACAAGTACCACTTATGTATGACACTAAATAATCAGTTTCAGTTGCATATCTTTTCTTCATAGTACCTTCCCTTTAACATCTTATCACATTAAAATTACAAAGCTCAAAGCATTTTATTGGGATTGTGCATAACAGACTGATGGAAAGTTCCCCCAGTACATAACTGTAAAGTGGAAGAAAAATGATTGAAACACATTTTACAACAACAACAAAAAAAAACTTGTGCTTTCCAATTCAGTTTACATTCTAAAAGTATTGATTCTGATACCCACATAAATGCCAGAACAATCAGCCATATTTAGTCCACCAGTGGGTAATTCAGTCTCAGTGTTTACAATTATTTATAGTACCATTTTGTGAGGTTTATTAAAGAACAGCACACTAAAGAACAAGGACACAGTGGTGTCTCTGAATCTTTGATTAGGTTATAATATAACATCAAGCTCTAAATTTCTCACATAGCACTGGTCAATCCATCATTCAAAAATGGAAAGAATATGACACAACTGCAAATCTGCAATAGTCACTCAACGAAGCTGAAGAACCTGGCAAGGAAAGTATGACTCAGAAAAGCAACAAGAAGGTCTGTGGTCACCCTGGAGGAGCAGCAGACAGCTAAGAATGACAACACAACTTACTTTAATGCAAAAGTGGAAAACTAGTCAAATCACCATAAAGCATTGTGGGGGCAACATTGCGCTATGGTAATGGTAATTTTATTCAATACAGCCAAAAAAGGTAGTCAGATTTGATGGAAAGATTAATGTAGCCAATTGCAGCACAATCCTCTAAGGCAGTCCTTGTCAATTCCAGACCTCAGGCCCCCTGCTCTGCATGTTTTAGATGTGCCTCTATTCCAGAGCAGCTGATTCAAATGACTGCATGACCAAGAAGCCTGTTAAAGCAGATTCAAACTATAGGGGTGTCATTACTTTTACAAAAAACACTATATGCTGCTCTGTCAGAAAGTGAAACCTATCCTGACAGCCAGATGTGTACAAGGGGGTGAGGAAAACAACCTAAGAGCATAACATAGAAGTTAAGGACAGTGATGTCACAGCCAGGAAGTTCGTCATTGCTCGTCCAAGCTTTACAAGCAGAAAGAGTTCAGCTGTGGGGTCAAAGGTTTAAACCACTTTAAAATAAATTACATTTAAAAAAGATAACTACTGAAGAGATTATTAGCATCTTTAACATGCGCATGTGAAACTAGATAATTGACCAAGTTTGTCACAAAAACAAAACTGCATGCATTAACTAAAACTACAAAGACAGAGCAACCTTACCGAAGAACACGGTTCAGTTATTGTAGTGATTTGGTGCTTTTAGTGTCACCCAAAACAAATATTGACTTGTGAATTCCCATGCATGCTATAAACAGTTTAACTGGTAATGAAACACGACAGCAGTGACTTTATAGTGACGTTGCTAAATTAGCGAAATGTAATTCATTACGTCCCCCATGAAGTTTCCAGAATGAGTTTTTTAAGGGAAAGCGGGGAGGAGGAGGACCGTTTGGCTAAGCTAGCACTTAGCTAGCCAACGTCAACACTGATGTTCCGTGTAGCATGAACGGATACACGCGGCCCCACGCTTACCTTGAATGTCTCCCGTCAAGAGCTGCCCAGGACGGACAACTGCGGTCAGAAACGAAGAAGAAGAAAAAATAAAATAAAATCAGATCGATTATGCAAAATTTGGCCTTTCCCTCATTGGTCTTCTGACAGGTCAGCCATATTCTGTCTGCAGACAGTCACCTGACTGGCGTTGTATAGCAACCGAGTAGAGAGGGGCGGGGCGGAACAAACCAACAATGTGGGGGGAAAATCCGACAGACGTCGTAAAATCACAGACATGAGAAAGACCTTTCTCTACTGGGCCTGTGTGAATGACCTGGCTTAGTATTAGGCTGAAAGTCCTCCCGAGTCCTCCACCTATATTTCAGTAACTCTTGATACATTTATTGAACTTTACCTGGAAAACAAAAACATTTGGCACACCGAAAATTCCACCAATAAATTACTTTAAAAAAACACACACACACACAATAATAAATATGACACCTTTCCCAAATATTTGTTTTGCAACATGGTTAGGTCTCATCTTCCTTGAGACAATAGTCCAGATTTTCACTGGAGTTTAGGTCAGGCTGGCTATTCAAACACATTTATGCTGTGGTAATTAAACCAGGCATGTCACAGTGTGAGCTGCTGCCAAGTTCTACTTGGACATGAAATGAGCATCTTTCTAGAGCTCTCAGCAGAGAAAATCATAAAGAAAGGACTGGTTTCCTGGCAGACGGCTGCACTGAGTTTGGATTTAACACCAGTAGATAACAGCTCTCCCTGAATCACCACTGTGGAAATTTCACACTGTTGAAGTTTAGATTCTGTGCATCTTCATCCTTCCTTCTTTCCTTGTCTAAATGAAATGCACTACTGACTTCCAGCTGAAAGATGATTTTGGGCCACTTCAAATTAGGAAGAGTTTCTGACACTTTCAGTTGTTGTTTTGCTTCACAATCCTTAAGGCTGGGTTTATCCCTGTTGCCACTATATTTTTGTCCACCATAGGTTTTCCTAAACTTGCACTTTCCAATAATGGTTGGATGAAACACTGAGCAATGAAACCTTTACTTGCCTGTCCAGGTTGTGGAGGATTTTAATAAGTACCTGGTGGAAAAGTTTTCACCATAATTTCTGGATTGTTAATATTTTGTCTTACATACTATTCACATTTTAGACTAACTGAACTGGTGCTTTTTGCTGGCTGTAAGCCATAATCATTCAAATCAACGAACAATTGAAATACATTACAGTGTACAACTTCCACTTTAACTGAATTACCTTTGATCAAATGAATTTTGTTTAATTCAGGTTTCAAACAAGAGCCTGAATGAAATATTTTTCTTGTGAAAAATATTATGTGAAACCAAATGTATGAAATTACTTTTAAATCTCAGTTAATCTTCAGTCATTTCAACATTCAAGTCAGAAATTTCAGCTGAAATTTTAGTCACCAGCCCTTAGATAAAAGTTTATAAAATACAAAGACATTATGGAAACTTACAAATCATTTATTTTGTGTACTTGCAAAAGGCCTAAAAATAGTTTAATAATTAAAACTGTGCTGCAGTGAAATCAACAAGTAGGTCATTTTTTAAATAACATGACAAAAAACTGCATTACTGACCAATGTCATTAATGGAAAAAAAATCTTAAGTTAACAAAATATTTATAAATTTTTACCTTTTAACAATGCGGAAAAATTGTCAATGTCTTTTTAGCAACTTATTAAACAATCTACATAACTTTTAATACATGTGAAGCACAAGCCAAAGCATTTACAACACTGACCTCTGTAAACTTTGTATTCTAAACATGTCTTTTTATCATGTAAAGTTTTATAGAAACCTACTATTGCATACGGTTAACCTGAGAGTCACGTACTCAAAAAAGACTAATCAGTAAGTAAAAGTGCAAATAATTTTTACTTAAAGGCAAAAGGTTTCAACAACCAGGGGAAAAAAAAAGATATGCATGACAGAGATTCACATGACAGCATTGGGGGGTGGCATTTTTTCCCTTTCAGCAGTCTGAGTCTCTGTGTCTGTACATTCTTTAAGACTGGGATCAATTTTCTCATCCCCACCTTGAGGCTGCATCATAGGCATTGCTTGGTTTAAGTCACCAGTCACTTGCTCCTCTGTCGCTGTCGTTTCTCTCGCCTTTGTGTCGTCTTCTTTGTCTCCCGGATGTTCAATTACTTCCAGGTTTTCTTTAACCTCCGTTTCTTCGTTTTCTCCTTCTTTATTTTCGGCAATTAGAGTGGCATCCTCATTAATTATTAGGGTTTCTTCATTGTCTTCAATGAAAGTTGCTTCTTCATCGTCTTCAGTGCTCCCGAAGGTTTCCACGGGCTGCCAATAATCATACAGCTTACCCTGCAACAAAAATGGCAAAACATTGCAAAGATGGTTCAAATCGTTGCCAATGTTGAGGGAAGTAATTATGTGTACCATACATTGAGAGGTCTAGTTCTCTGGAGGAGCATCTGCCACTTTGTGTAGATCCTGGCTACCAGATCCTTCACCTGGAAGAGGAATACAGACATAATACACAGCTTTAAACATACACAGCTCGTTCACGTTAGCCAAAAAGCTTTTTCTGATGTTGCAATAGACGATGGAGCAAACTATAGAAAGTTTCAGCTGGTAAAGAAACATCTCCATTAATAATTTCATAATACAAAGGATTATCTTTGTATTGCTCTCTGGGAGAGATTTTGGTCATTTTGTACCTTAGGTTTTTTTTTATATGCCGGGTTTTTCGATTTAAAATGATGAAGGCTACTGATAATGTTCACAGCTGCACCTGCCAAGGGGAGTTTTCATTTTCACTTTGACATAATGTGATAACGTAATTTTTCATGTTAAAGCCACAGCCTATTGTAAAAAAATAAAAATAAATTAGTTTCAGAAATGGGATGAGTAACATTTACCAGCAGGAGGTCACGCTTTCTTATTTTGGTTTGATTGGACTCACAGGGTGTTATTTTGAGTTAAGAATCTGTCCTTGAGCGAAATTGGGATGCAAATTGGAAAACTGAACTGGAGCTAGGGAAGGGAGAATTGGACTAATTTTTATGTCAGTATTTTGTGCTATTTATGGTGTCATGGTAACAGTCTTTGCAAACAGAAGTGAACAAATAATTACTAGCTTTAATGGCGGGTTATTAGACATGAACACTAGAGCCCATGATGATGTGTAGCTGGTGTGTTGCATCACCACATGAGAAATTTAAAGTCGCTCCCCAAATTGGAAGGCGGTACAAAAATAATGTCCTAAAACAGAGGAGCTTTTGGAGTTTTGTGATTTTGTTGTGGTTTTTCTTCTAAAAGCAGCGAAGTCAATAAATATGGCCTTTTAGCAATAAAACATAAAATCTGACTCTCAACTGTTCTTATTCACCTCAATTATGTTTTGCATAGCCAATTAGCACTTGAAAAGACAAAATAGTGATTATGTAAAATTTGAAAAAAATAAATGCACAAAAAAATTTAAACCGAAATGTTTTCAGGAGGCAAGGTGTAAACATCTGCCTAAACATTTTAGTTAAGAAAATTCTGCAATGCACATCTATTTGCACTGGATCCAGATACATTTTTCCGATTTATATTTTGAGGGCGTCCCCACCTTGCTGCGGTAAAGACATTTTTCGCTCTCTCTGATGTCACATTTGACATGAGTTTCCAGTTCTGATGACAAAACAAGCAGCTGTGCCTGAAGAACAACAAAAAAAGAAAAACAAATCTCCTTCAGTTGGATTTCTCATATCCAAAATTCCATTGTGATTTGTTTGAGCTAAACTGAATTCCAACAACAATGAATTTAGAAGAAAGAAAAAGAAGTTACCTTCTGCTGGGGTCTGAAGACCTGTAAATTGGAAGCCTCATTTGTCAGAGTCAGAAGGCTGTAACACAAGTAGTAGGCCTGGAATGCAAAAGAAACTTGTGTAAAAATAAAATTATATCCTCTTTTTGTGATGCTACTCCTTAAATCCATCCTCACCTGTTGGTCTTGAGTTGCCATCTCCTCCTCTTTGTCTTTCTGCTGGATACTTCGGAGAAGGGCGGAGGGTTGCATTTGAGGAAGATACGGCCTCAACTCGGCAAGCTGCCCACCATGCAAACATCATTGTTTAACATGACTGAATTCAAGCTGCTGTAGAAGGGATACCTCCAATACTTTAAGAGAGCTTACCGGAAGTCCTTTCTCCACAGGGATATAGGTGCAATTTCCATCCAACAACTTAGAGATGAAGCACATGCTTAGATGGCGGCGCAGTTCTCTACTCAGAGAAACCAAGAAGGAAACAATGAGATTTTAAAAGATAAACTAAATGCAGAATCCCTTCTTACTTCTAAAATCTCTGATATTTATGTAATGTTTTGAATGATAGGATTTGAAACCACTAAGATTTTGTAATCTCACTTGCACATTTTGATTCTTTTACATTGCTAATATAATGCAAGAAAACCAGCTTTAAAATAAATGCATAAAAAAAATATATACTTACTTTCCACATTTACTGTCAGGAAGGAGTTGAACCAGGAGGCACATGTTGTGATGATCATCTGTTAAATCAGTCAGGGCTTTACAGACTCTCGGCAGCTGCAGCGGAGAAATAATGTGACGTCAGCAATTTAATCACAGCTTAATGTGTAAAGAAACACAGAAGCCATTTTTGCAGCGTGGGAAGTGATTTTTTTTTTTTTTAAACTGACCACAGAAGACCAGTCACTGATGTTGTTGATTATTGTATACAGCAGACAGCTCACTGCTACGTTGGAGTGGAGGATTAGCCGTGTGTCGAGGCCGATTCTTCCCACCACAGTTAGCAGCAACAGCAGCTCGTCGTTGCTGTATGCTTGAGGGCAGAGGCCCATACAGTAAGACAGGTACTGGGAAACATGTCCAAAAAAAGCAAAACACGAAGGAATAGCAAAACTGGTTAGTCAAAGTTTTCTCATTTTCACTCTAATTGCCGAGGTCTCGTTACAGTAAAATCAGTTGCATACAAAAAAAAAAAAAAAGCAAAACAAAAAACTAACTTAGTGTGTTTTCACACCTGGTAGTTCAGTAGATTCAGTTCAATTGTGGGACCAAAATTACAATTTTTTAAATTATTTTCATTTGGTGCGGTTCGTTTTCACACATTATACTGCGTCAAACAAACAAAACTCTTTGAAAAACCCCTTTATCCCCCTCGCCTGTGGTTAGGGACTGTATTAAGAGTTTTAATCGCACATTCATGCCTCCCAAAAATGAGCTGCACTTTCCAGGTAAACAAATCAGCGTTTGATTAAAGCGGGGTAAACAAGACTTTTATTTTGTCAATAACACTTATAAGATATTCAAGAAAAACCTTTACTGAATAAAGGTCAATCCCAAGTGTTACAAAGTAAAATTTCCTAATTGCTCACCTTTAAGATGTTTGTGAGGTTGTGTTCAGGGAAACTGATCTCTTCAATGTTGTTAGAAGGAGACTCACTTTTGATATGGAAATCCTCTCTAAACAAAGAAAAAATGTCTTACTTCTAAATGCAAAGCAGCAACGTGCCTGATTTGCACAGCAGACACTCACAGCAAATCTCCCTCTGTGAATGATGGCTGGAGACTCTCAAAGGGGAAGAGTGTGACAAATGCAGCACCCATGTTCATAAAGACCAGCGTCACATCAGCCAAACTGGGAACCCAAACTTCAAACTTCTGGTTGTCATTGTTCACTAAGTGTACAAATATAAAAAAACATCACTTTTCCCTCAGTGAAGAAAAGAAAATTGAAGCCAATGAGAGGAGATGCTAACCTATCTGATAAGCAGCAGAACAGGCGATGTCACAAAGGGCTTGTAGGATCTTATTGGATATGATCCTTTCACTATGGACCGACATCATCTATGAAGAACAGGTAAAGGTTTAAAAACATTTTCTAAGTTTCTATGATGCAGCGACTGTAGCATGTGTTGGGCGTACCTTGAAGAGAAAGCGGGTAACCTGAGCGGGACAAGGTGAGTTACAGTAAGCTTCCTCAAACAGACCAACATTCAAGTGCAGTCTCAACTGGGCAGGACTGGACCTGCGATGAGACAGGAGACATAAACAAACAAGATGAAACTTTACATTGATTCAACATTAGTTTTCCAATGGCCAACAGAGGTTACATTGTTGACTACAAGCATGAACAAGGAAATAATGCATGCTGAGGAACTTCCTGTCTCCTCTTTCCTTTCCTCTGAAAACACAGGAAAGTTAAATGATTCACAGGTTAGAGCATTTTGGTGATCTGATCTACTGTCACTGGATTCTACTTCATCACTGTTTTAATTTTCTTTTTTTTTAGAAAAATAATCTATATTCATATGGCTCACTTTCCTGTGGTACCTTTGGTTGCAATTCCAGCTGCAAGTCTTTTTGTGAGTGTTTCTCCTGGCTGTGCACATGTAAAAACAAACTTTTGCCTATCGTATGGAAATTTGCCCAAACTCAGTGAGATTTGATGGAGAGGGTCTAATTTTTCCACATCTATTCACAGCTTATAGACAGGGTACAAAGCTATACTGAGATGAGGGGAAATGTAAGCCACACTTTTTCATTTTTTTAAAAGTTTCTAATAAATGTTTTTTTTTCTCTCTTCCCTTCCCTACTACTATGCATTGTAACATCAGAAAATATTATGTGTTTATTATGTCTTAATAGTTTTGCATGGTATTTTGAATTTGTCTTTTTACAAAAGCTAATATAAATTATATATATATATATATATATATATATATATATATATATATATATATATATATATATATATATATATATATATATTTTTTTTTTTATGCTAAAGAAAAGGACAAAACTTGTTTTTTCCAAGCCAGTAACCAATTCGTAAGCACTCTGAATTGACAAAAGTCAGAGAAAAACAACAACACCTGTTTGACAAAGAGCAAACAGAATACTGTAGTAAAACAGTTAAATTACCTGCACTGGTGTTTTATGGCACATATTTAAACACAGCTTCTATTACAAAGCACTAAGAGTTGCTTATACACGTGTGTTTATCCACGTGTATAAACAAACACACACATGTACGCCTTACCAAATAAGTGTCTTCTGAGAGGCCCCTTGAGGATTGACGTGGCATTGCCTGAGCTGCAGTGAATCCTGGTGAAAGATCTGGCCAAACCTTCCCAGGTTAAAAAGTATCTCCCCTGGAGGGATTTCTCTGATTGCAGCAGACATCAATGAGAAGTGCTGCAGAAACTCCCTGGAGAACAAATTATAAATCAGCTTGAGTTTACATTAAAATTATGTTTGTCCCAGCAAGACCAGAGTATTACTGCCAATAAGCCTCTGTTTCTCTTACTGGTGCTCATTGGCGATCTCCTCCTGGTTCTCCTCTGCCGCCTCATACTCTGCTAACCTCAGGAGGTCTTCATTGCAGGCAGACAGAAGTTGTGCTTCAATCTCCTTTGCTCTGATAAACATTTAAACAAAAGAGAAAATAAATTGAATGCGGTCCAGAGACATGAAACAGAAACCAATAAGTAGATTTTCTTTTTCTGGATTATGTACTTCTTGGTGCTGTTTATCTCCTTCAGCATCTGGTCCAGGTTGTTCTTGTAGACTCCTGGCTTTGTGGAGGATGACATCAGGCGCTAAATGAAGTAAAGGGAGACAAAAAAAAACTTCCCATCAAAACCAAATTTTAAACAATATTAATCATGTAGCATGTTAGATTAGAGGGAGTTTACCGTTTTTGACTGAGAGCTACGGCATCCTGGCGTGCTCGGCTCCGAGACAGTTTCTTTCTGTGGCGTGTCTGGAGGCTTCGCAACGCGGTCCATCATCTCCTGGAAGGAGATTAGCGGCTCTTCCTCGCTGCTGTCAGAGCTCTGGCTTGGATCTATGTCATATGAAATGCTCAGGCCAAGGTCTAGTTCAACGTCAATAGAGTCTTCTTCTTTCCCCTTCTTACTCCCATCACTGTCCTCCTCCTCTAATGGTGGAGCCTTTGTGCATGGAGGAGAAGTCTCTTGCACAGAGGCTGCTGTGTCGCTCTCCAAGCAACGCAAACCCTCACTGGTTTTAGGTTTCAGGTAGAGGTTGTGCTGAGGTTTGAAACTCTCGTCCTTAGATTGACTTCTTGAAGAACTGAGAGGACTGTGTCTGATGCCTCCATCTTCCAGTTTTAGTCGCTCCAAAGTCACAGTTGGCGAAAAGGCAATCGGGTTAGAGGTTGGTGAGGACGCTGCTTGAATAGGTTGTGTGACAGGAGGAAATATGGGTGAAACTATTTGACTGCAGCTGGAACTTTTCTTTGAAGTGGGTGACTTCATTGTTTGCTCTTTCATCTTATTCTTAGGAGCCTTACATGCATGCCTGACAACATAAACATTGGGGTCAGGGGTGAAGAGCTGATCTATGTCATCCAAGACAACCACTGGTTTTCGTACACGACTAGCTTTACTGCGTTCTGGTGTGCTACAACTCAAAGAATTTAAACTAGGCTTAGATGCTGGTTTTGTAGAGATGCCCTCTAATTTTCTGCTTTCTGTCTTAACTGGTACACTACAGCCAGCGTTGGAGTTACTACAAACCGAACCGACATGTGAAGGTTTGCTGCACTCCTTATGACGAACTTTAGAAGAACTTGATTTGTCCTTTTTTTGGTTTTCCTCATTCTGATTCTTTGGACTCCCTTCACTCTGAGTTGAAGTTAATCTTAACTTCACTATATTATTCTCAGTGGTAATGAAGCCTTTCTTTGCCCCTGTAAATGGCATTTTCTGTGGACAAACTAAGTCTAACTGCGAGGGTTTGACTGTGGATGACGATGCTGAGCATGCCAGCTCAGACTTCAGAAGTCTGTTTGTTGTTTCAGGTGACAACTCAAAGACCGAGGAGCTTTTTGGTGATGGCAGACAGTCCAGTGAAGATCTTGGTGAGGTCCCAGGAGTAAGTCCGTTTGTCTCTGTTGTTCCATGGTTTATTCCTTTGTGACAAGGTTTTTTGGCGTTCTTAAGACAAGGCTGCCTCTCCTTGCGTCTCTTTTGGGATGTGCTATTCAGATCCATCACTATAAATAGAAAAAGAATTTCATTTCAATTAAATTCAGTAATTTAATACTGAATTTACAGGGGCATCTTAATAATGCAATAATAAAATGAGGGCAACAGTATTGCTTGTTTTTTTTTGTCTCTCTACCAAAGAGACTGGATGACAAAAATCTTAACTCCGGTGCCTCCAGTTACTCCTCCCCTCTCGTTTCCATACAGAGCTAAAGTTTCTTCCACTAAGGCCAAACCGAATACATGGACAGATAGCGAAAACGACAAAAGTTGAACAATTTTCAACTTTCTTGTGTAGTGTCGCTAGCCCGCATGTGCACGTCTGCATATATGAGCTCAAAACTTTGCATGAACGAATTACGCTGTTTGCTCGTTGGGATGTGTGCAAACGTCTATTGCCTCACCGTGCAAACTCCATGGACATAAATAGAGACGGAGCGGCTGTCTCTTGCTGTCACCGTGTGACCTTATCCCAGTTACCTGCCGCCAGGCTCCTAGTCTCCTACCACAGTGTGTAGAATATAAAGCCCGGTGAGGAGGAGCAAACTGGAGGAAGCACAGATTTAAATACCTGTGATGAACCAGTTAACCTGTGGAGTATGCTGTAAAACTTTAAAGCTAGCAACCAAAATGTCTGCACCGATGCTTGCTTGGGGACCGTCCTTTAGGGCTTAAACAATTCCTAGAGTGATTCGAGTACCTCGATTATTAAAATTCTTTGAGAAAAATGTATTTGCCTCGAAGCTTCGAAAAGTTATGTTTTATTATTTAATACACCATGTTCAAAGCGGGTTATTATTTGCGTTGCGCAGCGCTCTCACTTCCGCCTGAGTTGTTGCTAAGAAGCTAAGTGTTGGCAGCATGGCTTGAACACTGTGAGCGGCTGTGCTTTAGCTGCGGAGCTTTACTGACTAACTGCAAAATAAATTTCATATCATCTGAGTCGCAAAAGACAGGTGGTGGAGCGCATGGTGACGGTACATAGCTGGTAGATGTTTCTGTGTGTGACGAATGCAGGTGTCAAATCCATACACAAGCTCTGAATCTCCACCAAACTACTGAAGGGCTTTGCTTCATATTTCTCTGCTAGCTGCGTTGACACCTGTTGTTTGTGTTCGTCTTTTCCACCGTGTGTTTTGTGCTTTCATTTGCTGCAAAGCATAATCAAACTCCTCAATTACCAAAAAGTTGAGACTGACCAAGTTAATACATAATTGTCACAATTCCTTTTTTTTATATATTATGAAAGTAAAACCCGCAATTGTTAATAAAAATATTACCTGGAATAATGCTTTCTCTTGAACGTGTCTGTTCATGGTGGTGGCTCTAAAACAGTAAAGCAAAAAGAAGAAAAAAAGAAAGAAAACCCAGACAAAAAAATAGTTAATATCAGTTAATGGGCTAATCAACTAAATCACTGAGTTATTATTACATTATGCCATCATAATGACTAATGGCAAAAGAATTTAGAGTAATTCCTTATGATCCGCATGGTACTATTCTAATTTGATTCATGAATTCATTTGTTTATTGATACAGATTTGGAGAGTTAATGTTAACAACTGTTCTTGTCAGTTTAATGCTTAACGTTGAACTCTATAAATCTAATATGATGATTAAGCTTCTTTTTTATTTTTTTTTTATTTTTACCTTTTGAAATAGGTAACCAGTCCTTGACTGTGCTTTAAATAGGGCAAGCAAAAATATCATTCTGTTGCTACAGCCAATAAAAAGGCTTTTTAATAGTCCAGGAGCTATAACGCTGTGTCTGAAAGGTAAACTATAACTAATAGTTTTGCATTCTCTGCTGGTCCCTGGTAGTTCAGTCACAGCTGTTTGCTTGACACCAGGAAGAAAACCCTTTGAGTCTGTACGCGGATGCATGGAAACTTTCTGACTGCCTCAGAGAGAACTCTCACACAATATTTGTACCAATGAACATTGTGTAGGAAATCTCTTAGTTTGCTGAGCAGAGCCTGGCAGAATAAGTGTGAAGAGTCATAAACACTTTGCATTAATTTCTGCTTTAATGCCACATAAACACCATGTTAAAAGAGAGAAAGAATTACCTTTTTAGGATCTTCTCTTTGTGGTACATCCTTGATTTTTCCTGAGTTAAAGGATGGGATCTTGGATTCAGTTCCTTGATCCCGTCTGGAGAGGCAGGAAGGGTTGGGGTTGGTTATATTCTTCCCAGGCTGAGGGGATAGTGAATTAAATAGAGTGGGAATAAAGGTTCTCTCAGCTGAGGTATGAGTCTTAGTTTGGCTGGCTGAAACAACTTGAGGTGAGGTGAAATATCCTGAGCTCAACCGTATCATGTTGTACTGAGAGCCCAGATTTTCCCTGGCTGGAGTGGCACCATTAACCGGGCTGCTCAGAACATGGCCATGAGATGGAGGAAAGGGATTCAGAGGACCATGTCTGTCTTTTAGCAAAGAGTTCACAGGGGAAACAATGTTCGTGGAACTACTTGAAACGAGAGCTGCCGGATATTTCATTCCTGCTGGATGCCGCCAGTTTGGGCTCAACATGTTCATGTTGCGTTCCTCTGGAGTCTGGAGAGACAAAACTCTCCTGGGTGCCGGATGAGGAAGCAAGTGTGGGACTTGAGATGGTTTGATTGGAGTCTCTTGGGCAAAAGATGCAAAATGTGAAAGCGAGTGTTGCTGGAGAGCAGGATCCATCACTGCAAACAAACAAACAAAAAAAAAAGATATCTTTGTTCAACGAGACCAGCTGTTCTCACATTTCTGAGAAAAACACACACAAGCACCTGTGGACTCACTGAAAATCATCTACAACAGGACAGTATTCACCAAACTTTAAGTCATGTTTTGTTTGTGGAGTTTTACTAGTAGTGGTAAACAAATCCAAATAATCTTTCTTTCATTGTTTAGTATGCCTTTAAGATTTGAATTGATGAACTACTATGAAAAAAAGTACTGAATTTGCTGATAATGGAAATTTATTTGGCACAACCACTTCCCCACCGTAAGCCAGGAATTTCAGTGATGAAAACCATACATACATATGGAAGAACCAAAGCCAGGTTATAAGGTCAGCAGACGGCGCTCAGGCCGCTTCTACACCAGCCAGTAGATTTCCAACAGACAACAGAAGCTTTTTATCCCAGCTTCTGTGATTAAAAAAAAAAAAAAGCCTGGGAACCTTTCATGGTGCAAGCAAGGAGGCACAAGATGTGGGGCCTGTGGCCTTGAGAAGTTGAAGGGAGTATCAAGAAATAGTTTGTATTTTACACTCCTAATTTGTTTTTTGTATCAGTGCTTAGTGTCGTGAAAAAGAGTAGACACCTCTGAAAGACGAATTAGAAGACTGAACACTGCCCTAGTTTTTGCTAAATTAAACAAAAATCTTTTGAATATGTGTACTGTTGTCAATCACCTTCAGCATTTTGTTTTCAGTAAGTCATTCTGAATACACAAATTCTTCAGCAGTTTTTTTTTTTTTTTTTTTTCTAGAAGCAACTTCATTGTATCTGGTTTGGAGGTGATTCAGGTTTAGTCCTCAGCACAGAGGATTTAATGTGTAGAGAGCTGTTAAAGGAGATTACTTTTCTTTTCAAATTGGATAAATGACTGGGCGCCTATGCTGATCATAACGTCATGCGTGAAACAGATTTTGATCCCCCAGGGTAGACAAGTGGTAAGACAAATTGAGTAAAACTGGCCAGCATAGTTAAACTGAATTTCTTTTTTATAAATCCATATTCAAATCACATACATTTTTTTCCCTTCTGGGATCAGCAAAGTATTGGCTTTGTATGTACCTACATAATACAGTAAGATTAGCTGAGAGAACAGACTGGACAAAAAAAATGACCCCATATAAGAAATTCACAGATCTGTTTAGCCAATATTAAGCGGCGTTAAACAAAACATTTAAAAAAACTAACTTTAACGAAAAACAGAATCTTTCTACTTTTGTAAAATGCACACGTTGTCTCGGAATCGTAAATACACAAATGCCATTTTGTTACCTGTACTGGTGTTTTGCTGCAAAGCCTTGCAATGTGGTGATATGTCCAATATGTCCTGCTCACTCACCTCTTTGCAAGTAATCCTCAACTACTTTAAAAAGTCAAACGAGGAGAACTCTTCGTAGGTCGTTCACGAATGGATGGATGTCTGAAACGACAGAAATGCAACTCAAACAGGCTGTTTTCAAAAAAGTAAAGGACGCCACAGCGTCACATGTTTATGTCAAACTGGAAAGGCCACCAATCCGAGGTTGCTACGTAAATGAAAACACGAGAAGCTTATTTAAGGGGCTTCGGCGTGAACACATGCTTCAACGCGTTAATAAAAATGACATTAAACGAACTTGTAAATGTCATCACAGCCTGGTCACGTTATAATCACAAACGAGCACAAAGCTAACTCCTAGCAAAAAACACACGCTTCATATCCTTTAACTTACGATCATTCTACTGACCTACAACCACTTCCTGCATGTGTCCTACCAGCAAGTCATAAATACGTACACAGAAAAAGATATATGCGTTTGACAGTAGCTTAATAATAGTAAATACGAGTAAGCCGCCGATCCAGGAAGTGAGTTTAAGCTAGGCGGCGGTTGACGCGCCTACAAACTTAACCATGTGGAGACAACAACGTCAACGGGATTCTTTTACCTCATAGTTCCTTGATTTTCAGAAGTCTCCGCCATTGTAAGAGTCTTAGGATTAGTTCATGAGAACCTATAACCGAAATGACAAGACCGAAGATTTCCAGCGCTACAACTGTTCCATCACAAGTTTGTGTCCCGCTTTCTGCTGTGTCGTTGTTATACGAACTGCATTCTGGAAGTTGAAGTCCAAGTCAAGCATTTTACTTCCGAGGGACTTCCGTGTTTAACAACCGTTTTGCCCTGAACCATGGTAAAAACGGAATTTTTTAAATATTTGTTGATATACTTTTTTTTTCATCGAAGTGATCAAATTACTGTAAAAGGAATGAAAACGAGGAATATTTAATCACAAAGAAGTGTTCAAGTGTACGTCGCTACAGTATGACAGCCCGTTTCCGCCACTCTGTTAAAAAAAGAAAGAAAATTATCTCATTATTTTGAGATAGCATCTCATTATAATAAGATGGTATCTCATTATTTTGATATACTATCTCATTATTTTGAGATAGCATCTCATTATAATGAGATGGTATCTCATTATTTTGAGATAGCATCTCATTATAATGAGATGGTATCTCATTATTTTGAGATAGCATCTCATTATAATAAGATGTTATCTCATTATTTTGAGATAGCATCTCATTATTTTGATATACTATCTCATTGTAATGAGATTGTAGCTCATTATAATGAGATGCTATATCAAAGTAATGAGATACTATCTCAAATAATGAGATGCTATCTCAAATAATGAGATACTATCTCAAACATAATGAGATACTATCTCATTATAATGAGATAGCACAACATTTTTCTCTCATAAGAGCTACAGGGACAAAGATCCACAGGGAGGTGAGGAGGAGACGCTGGGAGACGGCGACGAAGAGCCTCTAGCAGACAATGAAGAGTCACTGGGAGGCAATGGAGGCCCACTTACTGGGGCAGACCACAACACCAGCTGGGCAGCCTGTCAGCCAGGTGCTAATCTGGCCAAAACCCAATGACCGTGGGGACAGCGGCAGCTCAAGGCGGGCTGGAGGAGTCTGTAGGAGCTGAAGGCGGGCTAGCAATGGAGGAGTCTGTAGGAACTGAAGGCGGGCTGACATCGGAGGAGTTTGTAGGAGCTGAAGGCGGGCTGACATCGGAGGAGTCTGTAGGAACTGAAGGCGGGCTGCCATCGGAGGAGTTTGTAGGAGCTGAACGCGGGCTGACATCGGAGGAGACTGCATTTTACAGTCTGAAGGCGGGCTGATATCGGAGGAGTCTGTAGGAACTGAAGGCGGGCTGCCATTGAGGAGTTTGTAGGAGCTGAAGGCGGGCTAGCAATGGAGGAGTCTGTAGGAACTGAAGGCGGGCTGACATCGGAGGAGTTTGTAGGAGCTGAAGGCGGGCTGACATCGGAGGAGTCTGTAGGAGCTGAAGGCGGGCTGACATCGGAGGAGTCTGTAGGAGCTGAAGGCGGGCTGACATCGGAGGAGTCTGTAGGAACTGAAGGCGGGCTGGCATTGGAGGAGTCGGTAGGAGCTGAAGGTGGGCTGGCATCGGAGGAGTCTGTAGTGCATTCCCTGGAAGTGGCCCTACAGGCTCTCAAACTAAGACTCTAGAAGCTTCAGATGACCTTGACCTGTATGAATTGCTTTGTTATAAACATAGCAGATCATAAAAAGGTGATCTGACGAGGAGAGGAGTCTTTCAGAGTAGATAGGGCTCCGTGAAGAGAGCCAAAGACCATTTCCAGCTCTCCGAAACTTCCGTAAGAAAGGAGGTACAGTTTTTCTGACAATGTACCCGACAGGAACACTCAGGTACCGGGTACCAGCCTGGGTTTTCTAATCTGGTAGTTCAGGAAAAGTGATCTCTCTTCGTGCAGCGCCAAAAAGGAGTTAGGGCATTTTCTGAGCTGGTACGAGAGAGACTGCAAAGACATGGAGTCCCTTAGCCACCAAAACACGACTTTAAAGACTGAAAATGCTCGGCTAAGGGAAAGATTGTCTGCACAGGAGAAAGAGGAGCACCTGGAGATTGCAGTCCTCCATGTCCACCTCTCCCTCATTAGTGGGTGTCTCTCTGCAAACCCGCACAGCCACCGAAGATAACTGGACGATATGCTGGCGCCAGCAGAATGGAGATGTGGTCGGAGGGGACAAGATAGGGGCGACGAAGAACTTTGTACGCATCTTGTGGTATACGCAATTCAGAGTGTTTTCTCCGCGTGTGAAAAAGGCGATATGAGGAAAGAACTGGGCAGAGTGTCCGTCAGTTTCTCGTGGTTAAAGTCCTCCGCTGACACGTGAAACGCCTCCGGGTCTTCATCTGCAGTGAAATAACGGTGTCACGCGGCTCCTTCGACGCTTCGGTGGATGTAAACAATGGTGACGAACGTCGCAGTAAACTCCGAGATAGTGCGGTCGACATTTCACTTTCACGAGTTCTATCGCCCAAGAGCAGCAGCTTTTAACCAGTCCAGTTCACCCTTCATTCACGTACACAGAGTCCTCCTCCTGTCCGGGTTTTTCTTGACCATTGGTCGCGGTCCGTTCGGAATAATTGAAGACCGTTGGTTTAGCATGGTGCTGTTAAGCCATGTGTCCGTTAGGTTCTTCATCTCTGTTGTAACTCTCAGCCTCAGATGAAATAAATACTTCGTTATCCAGTGAGCTGACATTGCCCAGAAACAAGAGGTGGTTTCCGAGCCTTCAGCTGGACTCCTGCCCTCTTCCTCCTCTTCTGTTTCCGGCTACAACACTTCCTTTCAGTCGTTTCTCCTCGCATCCCGCTGCGTCAGACTGTCGTCCTGAGGATTCGCTGTCTTCAGCCTCAGTGACGCAAGCATTAACATTAGCATTTCTCTGCCACCCCACTAGTGCACCGGAAGTGCAATAAGATTAGCCTGCATAATCTTTTTCTCTCAGGTTAGGGCTCTTTCTTGCACATTAGCATTAGCTTCTTACCTTAAATAAGGTATTAGCCATTTCTCTTACTTATTAGCCATGTAAGTATACTGAATTGAGTAAGTAAATTATAGACAACATGGTAGTGATGCCCCACATGCTACTGACAGTATTCATGCTAACATTAGCATTTTGGGTCATTTTAGCTATTACACTCATTTCAACATACTGAATGGTGCAAGTCCATGTTAGTAAACATGCTTCTGACTCTCCAAAGCCTATTCATCACAATTTAGCTAAGCTAATAGATGCTAATTTTTAGCATCAGAATACTGGGTCCAAACCGACAGGCACACTATGGAAAGCCCCAGTTAAATTTCTTCAGGAATTTTTTCAAGTAAAATAAGTACAAGTTTCCAATCCATTGTAATGCAGATCGTTAGTAGAAATTGTGTCTGCAAGCAGCAATCCCAATTTGATTCTTAAAAAAAACAAAACAAAAAAACTTGTTTTGTTACCCTGGAATTTCACTTCCTTTAAGGATTAAAGTATGTTTTATTAGAACAGATTAAATATTTTTCGAAGAAGCAACTGAACAAACTAAAACAGCGGAAGCGTTATCAAAATCACACACTGACAGAGTGACCTCTTTTTATTCCATTGAAATCCCCCAAGTGACCCTTTGGACATCATTATTGAAAGTTCAAACACAGTAAGACATGGCCACCTATTGAAAATGACAAGTGGGTCAAGGAGAGCAACTATTAATTGTACTCTTCACAAATCTAGTCTTTATGGGAGAGAGGGAAGAAAGCAACTGATGACAGAAAGCCACAAGCACTGTTTGCAGATTACCACACAGCACACAATATAGAGGACACAGGGGACACATGCTCTGGTCAGATAAAAGTTAAACTTTTTGGCCAACAAGCAAAAATCCACATCACCATTGAATCATTATCCATGTGTTGATGTTTACATTTAAAATCACTTTCTCAAAGAAGTACTTTTCATAAAGAGGCAGGAAGACAACACAGACACACATATACTTTTTGATTGATTAGTTAATGGTTCTTTTAAGCACCATTGCATAAATTAAAACAAGCAACAATATTGTAGGACATGGTGGGAGGGACATTAAACCAATAACACCAAATATGGTGAAACCACACAAACAGTTTAGTTTGAGACTCTTCGTCTGTTCTTAGCACTGTAAAATTGGTAAACTCTTAGCAAAATAAGGGAATGATCATTTTTTATAGTGTTATACTTGCAAAGAGATATTAGTCAATGTTCAGAGACAAAAGTTGCTAGATTTCAGACAAAAACACAGACAACATTCATAAAGATGGTGCACAGCCTAAAGACATGCAGTGAAAGAAAAACAATTTCCTGCTCTAAAAATCCCATCTCACTCTCAAGAAAAATTACACAGCTGTTTCCCTTGAATAGTTTTCCTGAAGTAAACACTGAAAATTGAGCAAATAAAAGCACATATTCAAAATGCCACATGCAATCACGCATTAAAGGATCCCTGGTGCAGAAAACAAACTTAAAAACACAGAATAAACAGAGTATGTAAGTTTTTACTTGTTGCAAACATACTATGCATGTTGAGCATCAAAAATTAAACTAAAAATCTTGTGAGTTTCAAGCTTATGGCAACATTCAAGTTTCGTTCAAGTCGGTATATATATATTTTACTACAAGCTTTGACAATTCCTAATAAATATTATTTTATAATTTTTTCCCATCTCTTGAGAGCTGTGGTTTCACTTTCTCTGAAATATATCCATCCATATCTGTGACTTGCCCTGCAAGTCCCAGATATGCAAGGCAAGTCACTGCATGTCCTGAAACTTATTAGCATTTGGGAAACACACTAATCTGAGGTTAGCTTTCAGGGATTACTTATACCTTCACACTAAATAGACTATTATGTTATTTATTTATTTATTCATTTCTCTCTTGTTACTTCTTGGCTTTTCCTTGAGCAGCAACAGCCTCCATGGCTTTGCGCACAGTCTCCTCATCTCCCAGAAACTGCATAGGCTTCACTGGCTTCAGGTTCTTGTCGAGCTCATAGAGGATCGGGATGCCAGTTGGCAGGTTCAGCTCCATGATGGCTTCGTCTGACATTCCTATGGATTGTTACACACAGAAAGCTAATTCTCATTAACGGATAATTTATTCCACTGATTTACAGAAAACCTTTTGCATGCCAATACAATCTGCTTGTTGAAAACGTGTGTTCAAAGAAAACAAATTGACAGTAAGTAATGACGGATATATTTTTAGAGTGAATTGTAAAGTGCATCGGCACCCACCCTCCAAGTGCTTCACAATTCCCCTCAAACTGTTTCCATGGGCAGCAATGAGCACCCGTTTCCCTTGTTTGATCTGAGGGGCAATCTCCTCATTCCAGAAAGGCAGTGCACGTGCAATGGTGTCCTTCAGGCTCTCACAGGATGGCAGCTGGTCCTCAGTTAGGTCTGCATAGCGACGATCCTGCAAAGAAAACCACACCAGAATGTAAGGTTGGACAGAAAAGAAGAAACAAAAGACATTTTGACCTCTTTTAATAACATTTGGACATAAATTGGTTTCGAAATGGTGCACAAACCAGTGCCTTACCTATGTACAAGCTGTCTGAATCAGGTTTGTAGATTCAGTAAGTTTGTTTGAAATGTTTAGTTTAATCAGTTGTTTAAAATGACAGCTATAGCAGAAAACTAAACCAAGACAAGGCCATCAATTAAAACTGACAGAATGGACAAGGAGATCATCAATCACAAAGGCAACCAAGGAGCCAAAGGTGCATTATTATTTGTTCACTGTAATACACCCTTTATTGGGAGAGTGAAAAGAATAATTAATAACAGAAACCCAAACAAAACACTGCTTGCAGATGACCAGAAAATGTATAGAGGACACAATGCTCAGGTCTAATAAGGCAAAAGTTGAACTTTTTGGCCTGCATGCAAACCTCCACATCACCCCCAAAACGCCTTCCCTGCAGTGTGGAAGTAGCAACATGCTGTGGGAATGCTTTTCTTCAGCAAGAAAAGGGAAGTTCATCATTATGTTTTTGGTGTATCACATAAATTCCCTAAGAAATAAATTGAAATTCATGGCTGTGAACTTTAATCCAAAGAGTTAAATGGGTATCAATACGTTTTGAAGGTTCTGTCTAAAGCCTGAACATGCAGTGCAGACACAATTTATTTTATTTACCCCATTTAAGATGTTTCTGGAACCAGTTGCTGCACCAGTAACAGTGATAAAAGTTTCCCCACCTTTATATCTGCCTAACCATTTTAAAATAATACCATGCGGCTTCCACCTTATCTGAACTTTGAACTTAAACCCAGAAGTACTCCGTTGTGCCAGTCACATATTAACTCTCACTAGACATGCTCTTAGGCAATAACATTAGGGTGTTGCAAGCAAACAAAAGGGAATTTAATTCCAGTGGTTATCATGTTTCGTTCCATCTTATATGTGCAATCCCTTATCCCAATATTGCCCTTTAAATATTGCAGGCATGTCAGTTATCATTGAGACATGGCTAAAAAAATATACAAGGCATGCCTCCATTTTGTTATAATGTGGAAGCACTAAGCCGGTCAACATGTACAAAATCTGAATGCCAACGCAGTTGATTGTCTGTGTATTTACACTGTCGATAACCATATCAAACCTTGCTGATGATAGTGTAGTAGTCATGGTCGGGGCCCATGACGGGAGGAGGGATGTCAAATGAGCGCCTCCAGATTTTCACTTGGGCCTCTCCGTGCTTAGCCGCTGTCTCAGCTTTGTTGAGTCCAGTTAGACCTCCATAATGGCGCTCATTGAGCCGCCAGGTCCGATGGACTGGCACCCACATCTGATCAATGCCGTCTAAGACGAGCCATAAGGTCCTGATGGCCCGCTTCAATACAGAGGTGTAGCAGAGATCAAACTCAAAACCAGCATCTGTGAAATGCAGATAGACACACAGATACAATTGTGTTAAACATAAACTTATTTTATTAGCATCATATCATTTTGGACCAATTTGCAGAATATGAAATTTCCATTTTACTCATTAAACATAATCCAGGATCTCTGTTGTCAAAATTCAGTTTTAGATTATTTTTTTAACAGTTGGCAATAGATCATGAGTGAAATTTACTTTACAAGTAGTACTAACTTTGACTGGATATAAAAATCTTATCAAATGATTTTAATAGGAGTTGGAATTAATTAGATGCATGTGAATTAAATTCAGACTCAATTGGATTCTACATTGTATATAATGCACTATTCAGAATTTTCCTAGTTATTAACTATTTATGCTTTTCTCTGCCAATCCTGTTGCTTTTATATACTTTTTATATATTTATATAAAAGTCCTGTGATGGATGAATCTATTTTGTAGTGCCTGGAGATGACATTTATTGTGAAAGGGTGTAAGAAATAAATAAGTAAAACTGCACAACTGAACGCATTGGATGCTACCTGAAACATGTTTTATGAACAATTGTTCAGTACACACACAGGATCCTTGATTTCGTTTATAATATCTCTGTATCTTATTGCAAGAAAAAATGACTCAGAATCATTTGCAGAAACTGTCATTCCCGACTAATACCTGACTATTTAACTGTAACCCATTGTCATCTCTCCTTGACCTGGAAAAGAAACTTTCAACAACACTGCTATTGTCCTATGTGATGTTATTGCACTTGCACCACGTCAAGGCTCTTCTCCCGCCCCCCGGTCTCGTTCAGTGTCGGTTTGCGACAAGATGCATGCAACTGCAATGATGCGACTCACTGCTGCATGTCTGGAATAACATGACGCCGGATTGCCGCAGACAATTATAAAACGCCAGCAGCCCCCACACCTTTAAGAGCCTGTCCTCCTCTCTTCGCCTCCTTCTCCCCGGTTTCGCTCAAGTCTGCATCGAACCAGCCGCAGAAACGATTCTCCTGGTTCCAGTTGCTCTCTCCGTGGCGAATCAGCACTAATTTGAAGGCCGCCATGTTCAATGCTGCTCTGCAACCTTCGATCGTTAAAATAAATATAAACTATCAAGTTGATTCAAACTGATGCTGGTGATGATGATGGTGAGCTGAGAGTTTGCAGCTCCAAGAAGCAGACAGGTCAAATATTTGCCGTCAAGCGTTTATATGCTGGGGATTGGTTATCGTCTGACTTCCTGGTTTTTACATCCAATCAGAATCCGTCAATGTTATTTCTCAACCAATAGTAGTGGAGGGCGTCATCAGATATGACCTTCATGATGAACATTGATTTTATTTTTCTAATCATTTAATCAAGTTAAAAATAATAATGCTGGCAGTAAAAAAAAAAAGTAATATAAACTATATCTAAATCGTTCTAAAAAATTTAGAACGTTTGTAAAACAAGAATTATAAGGAAAGGTGTTCACTGTCTTTATTACAAAGTGCCATTAACAAGTCAACTTGTTAATGGCACTTTGTAATAAAGACAGTGTAAGCGTGTCGAAATTTAAACATTTAAAAATGTCTAATTAACCTGTTAGAAAATATATATATATATATATTTAAAAGTTACATTCTGCAGCTATAATTTCAGTCAGGAAGGACAAGAGCTGCTGCTGACTAACACACCTGTTGTTATGGTAAAAGGTATAAGAGACAAGTTAATATATTAATATCTTGGTGATTTTTCTTAATTTATTAGACGCTGGTGAAATGGAGGCAGTCTGTAGCTAAGCTAACAATGCTAATTGATAATCTCACCCACCTCTCTTGGAGAAAAAACTGGATTACAAATTGACTCTTTCCTTAATATAATTAATTTTGTAATTGACAGGGCCCCATTTTTTCTATGAAGGCCTGTGGCATTTTTACACAACACGATGAAAGGCTGGCTTTGTTAAAAAAGCAAGCTAAAAATTCTTAAATGCAAAACAGAAACATTTTAGCTAATTAAGAAAACAGACAACAAAACTGGGACACTCTAAACTAATAACAACCACTAACAAATCTGAAAACAGAAAACTGTAAGAAAACTGACAATATTAAGTATTGATCCTTTACAAGTAACCTCACTCTCAGAAACTCGGCCACGACCAACGTCAAAACAACCAATGCCCTCCACTTTATCACATGCAAAACCTCACCAAACTTGACCCAAAATTCCCCCCGGAAAATGTCAGGATGGAGTCGCAAGCGGACGTGGCCAATCTGCTCTACAGTGCCACCTATCGCGAGTTTAGAAGAACTGCAGGTCGTAGAAATCTGAAACTCTATACGTAGGCAGATCCCTCCACCCCCATTTAGAAAAAAGTCTGTTGACGATACCCCCTAAGATGCACAGGGAGGCGGCGATTTTTGGGTCAAATGTCAATTTTACCTGATTTTAACTTTTACTCGTGTCAAAGTTTAACAAAGTCCTCCTAGGGATTTAAGGCATGGGGTGTTAAAAATTATCAAAAAAGATGGACTTTTTGTCTTAATAAACTTTAACCTAGCCTTTGAGGTACTCCTGCCAGGTCAGTTCTCTGGCGGCTGGCATATGTTTACAATTTGTCACGCTTCCTGCTCCTCCAGAAACATCACACATTCTAGAACAACTAAACAGTCTAACTGTTCATAAGGACAATGATTAGTGTTAATGCAAGTTATTAATTTAAACCTATCACTCACGTTTTGACCGCGCTGCACCAAACTCACTGAAATCGATCCTTGTCCACACCCCGACAGGAATGTGGTCCAATATTTGGTGTGTGTGGCCCAATTCCTCCACAACACACCCAAGAATATCCTTAAACATCATCCACTTCCCTCAATCTATCATGTCTAACCCGACCCTCTCTTATGAATTATGATCCTCGTCCGGTAAACTGTTAATTTCGAAAGAAATCGTGACCCTACCATTGAAAGACCTGTTTTGTGCCTCTGAGGAACCAAGTTCCCTAGCCAGGGAACTTGGTACCTCAAAGACTCTGGTAACGGTGCCTTTCAGAGACCCCGGTGATGAACCAAGAGCTGGGACCACTGAAGCCAAGGCTTCTGCTGTGAATTCAGCAAAAGCCTTGGCTGCAAGGTCGGCCGCAGATACATCTTCCCCAGCCGGGGCAGATGCTTCTGCGGCTCGTCTCTGGGACACAAGGTCTTCTGTCAACTTTGAGCAAACCTCCCCCGCCGGTTCGGTTTGCTCAAAGTTAGTACTGCCAGACTCAGTACTAACTGAGTCTGGCAGGTCTCCGTCTGCTGTCTCACAAACAGCACACGGAGCCGTCGGTTCATGACAATCCTGCCCAGCCGGGTCAGTTGTCTGGAGACAGTACCGTTTTTTGCGGTACTCTCTGGTAGGGTCACGATCGGGTCTAATTCTACAGTCCCTAAGATGTCCGTTGGTTTGGAACAAACCTCCCCAGCCGGGTTGGTTTGTTCCTCCTCAAAATCCTCAACGTCCTGTGACTCCTTAGAAACCGGCAAGTCCTGACAACCTCCTTCGTCCTCCTTAGGAAGACGATAATCAAATAAATTATTCATTGCGGTGCAAACGGCGTATCCTACGCCCCAACCCAGTGGTATCAAGAAAGGCACGTGCGTTCAAACAAGACATCGTTGTTCGCAAATCTTCTCTGAAAGCTGTCTGAATCCTGACTGAAGCACTGAGATTCCTATTTAGAATTTCTTTGTCATTGATGACCTCATCAGTGACCTCACTGGACTTCAAGGGCAAGGTATTGCCTCTGGTCATCGCTATGGAAACGATATCAGTTCTGCAAGACTGATGACCTTCATGATGAACATTGATTTTATTTTTCTAATCATTTAATCAAGTTAAAAATAATAATGCTGGCAGTAAAAAAGAAATAGTGATATAAACTATATCTAAATTGTGCTGATAAAAAATTTAGAACGTTTGTAAAATAAGAATTATAAGGAAAGGTGTTCATGTTGACTTGTTAATGACACTTTGTAATAAAGACAGTGTAAGTGTGTCGAAATTCAAATATTTTAAAATGTCTAATTAACCTGTCATATATATATATATATATATATATATATATATATATATATATATATATATATATATATATAGCTGACTGGATAGCTCAATACATAAGGCATCAGTATATCACCCGAGAGGGCAGGGTTCGAATCCAGTCTGGGTCCTTAGGCAAGACCCTTCAAGCTACTGCCTACCTCATACCATGAGAGATACTAAGTTGCATAACATGCCGGCTCAGACGTCGCCCCAAACAAGGTCTGCGTCAGGTGTTGGGGAACCAGAGCACCTTGATGACAAATGGGCTACTGGAACAAGACGGAAATGGGCGAGAGATGAAAATGTGGATCTGTTGGAATGCTACTACTCAAGTAACCCTAGTGAGAGAGGTTACATGCAAAGACTGGGGAAGGAATGGTTACTTCGACATCCCCAGTCAACACTAAGCGCTAAACAACTAGTAGCTCAGTGTTCCAACATCCGCAAACGGCAACTGCTATCACAACTTGAGATTGACGAGATACAACACAAATGCTACGGCAAAAGGGAGGAACCCGGATGTCAGGACTGTGGGGACTTAACTACAAGTCCCCACCCAGTGAGGGGATACACGGCCCCAATGAGCGAAACAGAGCTGAACGAGACAGCTGCTGACCTGAGAGAGAGAATCATGACCCGAATGACAACCAGGCCTCCCGGCGCCAATTACAACGGCTGAGTGAAGTACCATCTGAAAGTCTCATTGAGAATGTGAATGCAGCATTGAGAACGATCCCTACCAACACCATAACAGAAACCAATGAGCTGATCTACAACTCAGCATCAGTGATCCTTGAGATACTTGGCTATAAGAGCAACCATGAGACCCAATACCCACCATGGAAAAGACGGTTAGAGGCTAAAATCAAGGTAACAAGGAGGGAAGTGAGCCAACTGTCAGAGCTCCACAAGGGTGCAATGAAAAGACCAGTACCCAGAAAGTACAGGCAGATGCCCATACCTGAAGCACTCGAGACTGCCAAACAGAGGCTCCAAGCCTTGTCCCGCCCTAAAGAGATACACAAGGGAGAATGAAGGATTAACCGGCTCTTCTCCACTCAACCAGCTAAGGTGTACTCTCAATGGCAGGGTAACAATAACAACAGAGCAGACCCACCAAGGCTGGAGACGGAACAATACTGGAAAGGCATATGGGAAAGGGAGGCGTCCCACAACAGCAATGCACAGTGGCTGATCTCTCTACGAGAGGACCACAGCAACCTCCCTGAGCAAGCCCCGGTAACCATCACTGTGACAGATGTCCAAGAAAGAGTCTCAGGTATGAAAAACTGGACAGCACCAGGGCCTGACATGATCCATGCCTACTGGCTAAAGAAACTCACTGCTCTCCATGAGCGAATGGCAGCCCAAATGAACCAGCTGCTACAAAGTGGGACTCACCCTGAATGGTTAACTGAAGGGCGGACAATCCTAATCCAGAAGGATCCATCAAAGGGTCCAGTCCCACCCAACTACCGACCAATAACCTGCCTCTCCACAACCTGGAAGCTCATGTCAGGCATCATAGCGGCCAAGATAAGCAAACACATGGATAAACACATGAGCACGGCACAGAAGGGTATCGGTGTAAATAGCAGAGGAGCCAAACACCAACTCCTCGTAGACCGCACAGTTGCCCGAGACTGCAAAACCCGACACACCAACCTGTGCATGGCTTGGATTGATTACAAAAGCCTATGACTCAATGCCGCATACTTGGATCATTGAATGCTTAGAGATGTATAATCAACAGGACTCTGAGAGCCTTCATTGCAAACTCGATGAGGCTGTGGAAAACCACCCTTGAAGCCAACTGCAAACCACTTGCACAAGTGTCCATCAAATGTGGCATATACCAAGGAGATGCTCTGTCCCCGCTACTGTTCTGCATAGGCCTGAACCCCCTCAGCCAAGTTATCAACAAGACTGGCTACGGATACAGACTCAAAAATGGGGCCAATATCAGTCACCTACTCTACATGGATGACATCAAGCTGTACGCCAAGTGTGAGCGAGACATCGACTCACTGATCCACACCACCAGGATCTACAGCACTGACATTGGGATGTCATTCGGACTAGAGAAGTGTGGTCGGCTGGTCACAAAGAGGGGGAAGGTCATCCACACAGAAGGGGT